TAAGGTTTATTCAGAAGCTTATGTTAGAAGATTAACGTAACCAGTAGTTTAAGTTTGCAGCTAATGCAGGAGAGGAACATTAGAATATAGCTTGAGTATAGGACGCTATAATAAGTATTTTCGTACCCATCACTCAAATCACTACTGTCTACGTTTGCAGTCATGTCATCCAAGAAGCTTGCCGGGAGTGAAATAGGCAAAGAATGTCTACCATATTCTGAACACCATGATACTGTTATAACGTGGACGCAATAATCTACTGTGCGAAGACCATTCTTACAAACGACAGTAGTATCCTATTACGGCATCTGATGCTTTATTCGGTTCTTATCCGATTAAGATATAAACCAAGTACTTTGTACTTCCATAATAACTTGTTGAATTTAAACGGGATCATTATCTTTTGTCAGTATATTATATTTTTAAATTCGCGCGCGTGTTCGACATAAATGCACATTGCACTTATAAAGTTTTCTACTGAGAAAACCATTGCAACAGTGGTGCACACTGAGTGTAATTTTATTGCTCCAATGTGAAAATTAGTTTACATATTTTCAGTGTTTAATGTTCTATTGACAGAAATTTGTCAAGTTAAACACAGTAGAACATTAAACACTAAAAATATGTGTGCATCAGCGTGCACCGGTGTGCACGAGTGTTGCACTAGTTTTTACAGTAGAAAACGCTATTAGTTTGTACGTGCAGTCTGCTCTTACGTGTTCATCACAATACACTGTTTTGAGTGAACCTGCACGGACAGCTGAGTACATGTATCACACGCTCGTTTTATTTCCCCTCCACGTATGGCTCCAGAGGAGGACATCACTACAGGAAATTTGTCACAAAAATCCGAAATATCTCTCTGTCTTTCTTTGACATGACGGTGAAATAACATAAAGCATCCAAGAACTTAGCCGAATCAAGACAAGCATGCAACAAACATGCACCATTTTGTAGTTGATAGAACCCATTATGGGAGGCCTTACTGGGATCTAAGGCTACCGTCAACGTGACGCTACAAATGCTTTGGAGCGTTCTTCTTCTCCTTCTTTCTTCATTGAAAGAAAAGAGAAGAGGAATGCTTCGAAGCATTTGTAGCATCACGTTGACCGTAGCCTAAATCTATAGGATAATATAAAAAAAATATCGTAAATGAAATTGAAAACGAGGCAGATCATGTTTTCTAACAAATCTAATAGAGCCTCTCTTGCACATTTTGCAGAAAAACTAGCATAGCATTGGATCAAGACTTTATGACAAATAATATTTGAACCGTATAGAAAAGGGCTCAGAAATCACCAAACATGGTCATGCTTCTTTCAAAATGCTTATAGTCAAACTTCTGCATTCTTGATTAGGACGGAATTATATCTATATTATTTTTGTTTAATTTTCTTACATTTATAATTATAATAGAAATAGAATTTTTCAAATCATAAAAAACTGAAAGGAAATTAAGAATAACTAGATAAATTTAGTCCTAATAGGTAAGGAATATAAAAATCCGACAGTTTTACATTCAAAAATTCTGTTTATCAATAATGCATATATGATTGATAACACTCTTACAGTATTGGCGTTAATCCAAAACGAATTGTATAGAATCACAAAGCATGTAATGAAGAATGTAGAAGAAATAACCTCGAGAATATGTTCTGGAGTACATTTTGACGTCAAGAATGTGGTAAACTGCAAGAAATAATGATCAATAAATAAATTAACCACGTCAAAAAAGCAACAGTAGATTGTCTGATTAGCAAACTGTAATTTCTTTATTCTCCGTTACTCTGTATATACTATGTACAATAAATTAGTAAAAAAAAACCAGGTAATTAATATTTGGATATAATTGTATCAAAATAATATTATTTTAATAAAATAAAATATTATCCAATATAATTTGAAATTTGATAGATGCAATTAAAATAACGCTTTGTTATACAATATTTGGTATTTTATTTCATAATAATAATATAAAAATTTTAACATACTTGGAATATAATGAAAGTTATCAGAATGCCAAGAAATAAAATTAACTGAAGTTCAACGACTAGCGATCGTTGATAAGGCCACAAACCAACGGCAAGCAACAGGATTCGATTGACGTTAAAATGTTGAGTTTTGAGACAAATCATCTCTTCGTGACCACAGAGATGTATTTGGTGGAATAGCAGTGGACGGAAATCTATATATCTTCCCTCTTTTCTCTTGATTGATGGTATATTTGTCTAAGCAATGCTAAGTATTAGTATATCAGCTTCAAATTAGTAAATTATGTTAATGTTAGTATATCTTATTGTTAGTAAATCAGATAATGTCATCAAAAATAATTTTTTCTCCAGCGAGAATAATTTTACTCATATACACTCACCCGCAAAAAATTCTGGCTACTTCAAATCAGCGTTAAAAAGCACCTAATTCAAAGTTACATATCTTTGTGAAAAATGATCGCAGAGTGATGTTTTAAAGCTTTTTAAAGCTTGAGTCCTCAACTTTCGAATGTTTCGAGACTTGTTTCTCTGCGAAGATTTTACTACAAATGGCGCTAATTTAAATTGGACATTGCAAAATTGAAGAATAAACTTCAACTTTTATAGCGTGCACATGGAAAACGAAATTTATTCTTTAAATTTTATTAATTATATCGTAATATTTAACATTGTCTCTTTAAAATGTTATTTTAATCATTACGCTATAATTTTTTTTACTGAGTTATGATAATTTGAAGTGAATAGTGCATTTTCTGGTCCTTTCTCTGAAAATCTGTATTCTGTCGCCGATATTCGTATCTCTTGATTCTTTATGAAAACTGCTCCGTTGGCAAAAATGGTGCAAATGACAAACTGCAATGTTCATACGGGAGTGACAAACAGCGAGGCTGAGCGAGGTACATACTTATCTCCGCTGTGGCACAAACATTGAAGCACGCGCTCGATATCTTACTATAATAGTAAGAAAATCATTTATACGTTCGTCTGTAGAAAACGTTCTTGGACATACATCCCTTAGCATGTTGGGCAGTGCAAATTTGTCCACTGCCCAAAGACGTGACTCAACTGGACGTGTTGCAGATGTCGACAGCTGTTATATTTACCGAGATTTGAACGGAGGGCTTTTTTAGATTGTATAAAAACCATTTCGCGATTTTTCATCCACTGTTCCTTTGAATATAAATACTAAAAAACAGCACATAAGCAATAACATATCCCTGGAGCCATATAGCCCCGATTTCCCTTACTTGAGTATAGTGTTATCCCCGTGCTGCACACCCGCGCTGTGCGCTCATGCGGGTCGCCCCGTATCAGAAGTTGCGAATCGTCTTTAGCGACGGCTGTCTTATTTACAATTACGATATTCAGATTAGACAGGCTCTGAGATTCCGTCTCGTTCGGACGTGTTTGCCCGAGCTTTTTGTATAAACGAGCTAATTACAATAAATAAGCTCCTTTTCTATAATTAACGAGCCTTACTTCCTTGAGTGAGTGCCGGAGTATGTGTCGCGCGCGAGTGCAAGTGAGAAAATGTGGCTGACGCTCGACGAGCGTAACAATATATTTCCGATAATTATGGCTTCTGCACACAGGACGCGGAAACGCTTGCCGCGCGGTAAAAAGCAACGCGGTAGCCAATAAACTTTTGGTTCTTACGGAAAAGCAACACGTTGATTGGCTACCGCGTCGCTTCTTGCCGCGCGGCAAGCGTTTCCGCGTCCTGTGTGCAGAAGCCATTACATATATCGGAAATATATACTACTAAATATCATTAAATAGTTATTTGTGTAACAAGTAAGGTAAGATGAAAATTCCCGGGTGCGGAGTTTACGCACGAGCCGAAGGCGAGTGCGGTAACCGCACCCGGGAATTTTCATCTTTACACACGGCTTACACTCCCTATTTTATGTTGAAAGTGCCTGGAAAGTGGTCTATCACGCACGCGTAGCGTGCGTAATGGGGCACTTTCCATGCACGTGTTGCATAAAATTAAATAAAGTATCAGTTGATTGCGCTACAAGAAGGGAACTAATAAAAAAAATTTTTTTTGCATTTTATTTAATAACGGAATTATTCAAAAATTTATTACATTCGCAAACAGAAAACTTTTTTAATGACAATTAAATAAAGTCTCAGTAACAAAGAATTTTCATTGTACTCAACTTTGTCAGATTACAATCTAGAATCCCGATTTCTCACACATCACGTTTCAGCACACATCACCTAAAATGCGAGATCGGAATGATCTCAACACTTCTATTTCTTTCACCTTTACCGTCCCGTCCCCATTCTCTCGCTTCCAAATTGAAACCAATTTTATTTTATCATTATTAATTCATAGTCTTAATTCTCCCTCATAGAATAGAGAACAGTAAAATAAGATATCGAAGTACTCAACACCTGTAATAAAATATATCTTTTGCTTTATTCTGTAATAATAAGTTATATTGAAAATATAATAGACAATTAGAGACAATATGTTTTGTTACGTCCGAACCTCAGGATTTTGTTTAGCTGGAAAACGATCAAGAAATGGCTAGCTAGGGGTGGTGGTATGGAAGGACTCAATGCAGATACTAACGGTTGTTTCGCAGGTATACGCAGTGAGGCGCGTGCCTTGTATCAATCGCACTTTTCAAAAGCTCCGGATATGGGTCAACGTCCCGTAGGGACGCTAAGACGCCTTTCGTGAGCTGTGCGATCGGTCCTGTTTTAGGTCAAGAAACTTAAACCTTTTAACCTAGGATCGGACCTTCGAGCACAGAATCTAATTTAAAACTCGGTATCGGACTTGATTTCGACAATGTTCGTAAAACGGAAGAGAAGAGAAGAGAACCAGAAAGAAAAGCTGGACCAAAGTGAAGTGAAAAATTGAAGTAGAGTGATTGAGTTCTGTGATGTCGCAGTTAATATATAGGAAGTTCAAGGAGTGGATTTTGTCTTGAGATGTGTCAGGTTTCCGTTCCGAGGATTTTGGTAGGATATTTCCACCCGGGATGTAGATTTGTGTTTTCAGAATTACTCATTGAGTGAGCTCGACGTGGGAGCATCACTATTGTATAATTTCGATTTTCGCCTACCTATCTATTGGCGAGCTAAATACAGATATCGAATGCCCATTTTTACGGCTGCCCATTGACGAGTCATGTCGTGAGGCCCCTACCATCTTATTTTTGGGGGTGCGAGCTATTGCTTTTTTCAATGACTCATCTAGTTTTCTAATTATCGCCGATTTATTTTTTATTAAAGTCGGCGACAACTCTTGATTCTCGGTTTATCTCGCAATCTTATTTTTGTTAACAAACAGTTTTATTGGGATTACATATCTTTACTGACGGTTTAAAACAAAAAGAGATTTTCGTTAACAGTTACAAAATTTTCAGACTCCGTTTTGCTTCCTCATAGAGGAAGCTGTTTTCGTGAAAAAATTTTTTTTCAGGTATCTTCGGCAAAGTGTTTAGAATGTCCTAAAACGTCGAAAAATCACTTCTGTACAAAATGTTCGTGTGTATGTGTGTATGTATGTGTGTGTATGTGTGTGTGTATGTAACGCTTTTGTTGTCCGTTTATGCTCTAACTTCCGTAATTTTTTAGATATCGGGATACATTTTTTTTTAATCGATAGATTATCATGTAAGGAAGGGTGAGATTGAATTTGACGATGATCGGTAAAAAGCGGTTCTTTTTTAATAAAATTTAGAATTTTTATAGAAATGTTTGTGGTTGCTTTAACTTCTCAAATTTTGAGATATCAATCTATTTCTAATTTTATTATTTTCTTCAGTTTTTTCTACCCCTATTTTATATATAATTCTTTAAGATTTGGTTGATTAGATCCAGCTTTATACGCGATCAAAGGTCTATATGCGAAAGTCCCTATATGGACCATGTTAAATTTAAAATAAAAAAAAGTGTGCAAATTAGAAACTTGCACATTGCTCATCACTACAGATTGCTACCATTGCTCCTATTTTATTTCGGTCATAAAGCTTCCTCTATGAGGAAGCCAAACTAATAAATACTAATAATTATACATCAAATAAAATATAAGCTTCCTCATAAAAGGAGCTTTGTAAGCGAAATAAAATAGGAACAATGGTAGCGATCTGTAATGATGAGGAAGCAATATGCAAGTTTCTAATTTGCATACTTTTTACCTATCTAACAGTATTACACGAGCAATTCTAGAACTGCTTGTTCAATATGATAAAATTTTGTATTGAACTTTTACTTGAAATTAAGTGCTTTTTGGCGATCCGCGGATCAGACAAAGTTGATAAAAGCGTATATGCCTTGTCTGTTTGGATTTCATCATGGAAGTTTTCTCTCGATTTTATTATATTTTTTAGGTCTGAATCCTTAGTTAGCATTTTGCATAAATATAATTATAATACATTATAATAATAAAACCGCATTTTTCTTTATGATTTATGTGTTGTGAAGCGTGATTTTAAAACGAATACTTCAAAATGACTGTTAATGTTATTATCGATTAAATAATATTTGCATGGATAATAAAAGATTTTACTATAAACTATAATATATGGTATATATTTCTTACCGCAGCGGCACTTTCCATGTTCGCCACAAATATTCCACCGATAATTATTTGAAAGGCCTTAATGCCCCTTTGTAGTAGAAACAATATCATTCTCTGTATATGTAACGGAAATACATACCACTGAACGTTGTATCTAAAATAATAACAAATTGATAATCATGACAAGATAAAAATATTTGAAAATTATGCATATACTTGTTTCACAAATCATATTAGTCAAATCATAGTACTCTTACTGCAATATTTTCTATAATTTTTTTATTACAAAACAAGTACTCTTATATGAAAAAATAATGGAAATATTTCTTACACTGTGACAAATACGTATTCATTGTGATCCGTGATTTCTTGCGCAAAATAGTTGCCTAAGAACAAGTACGCATTGAAAGTTTTTATCATCAAAAGAGTAAAAAAAAGTTGCTCAATATTATCACTATGTGACGCAGCCTAAAAATTGTAATGCATTTGTTATACATTTACTGGTATCGACTGTTCTTACGCACGATCGAATCATATTGCTCTATATTGTTCATATTGTTTTATTTATGTTGCACGATAAAATTTCAATAGATTATTATGGCTGTTTTCCAGCAAGGTGACACAGTGCGACACTGTGCGACACTGTGCGACACTGTGCGAACACTGTGTCGAACTCTACATCGATGCTGTGTCGAGATGTGCTTCGCTGTGTCGTTGTTGGAAAGCACTGTGTCTAACACTGTGCCACACAGTGTCGCCTATGTTCCTTGCTGGAAAGCACCCTTATAATATGTCATCGAAAACAAAACATTGAATTATTGTGCAGATATAGTTTTAATGACAAGTTTTTATTTAGTAGTTATTGGTAATTTCTTTTACTTACAATTAGCCTATATAATTTGAAATTATTATATAGTATTTTAAAAATATACATATACATATATTGCAGTTGTGGCTTAAGCTTATAAAAAACACTAGTACAATTATTTTCACAAATTGGCGCTTTTAATTTATATATTACGACAGAAAAATATTTCGCTACTTCTTTTTATATCCTTGACTTTTTCATAAAATTCTAGTATTATGAAATATAAAAATATTACCCGATAAAGACTAAGGGTAACACCAATTAGGCCGAACATTATCATGGAGAAGTAGGGCCCCCCAAAGTTTGATATTAAAAAGTCCGCGAACCTTCAAATACGAAAAATTCGTGTTATTATATTAGTATTAAATGCTCTATATCAAATATATACCAACTCCATAGCTTTACGATGAATGTCCACGGCATAAGCTATCTCTTTGTAAACCTTGTTTTTACTTTTTAGGATATCTTTTTGTAAAATATTCATTGCCTGTTCGATACGATAACTGTAAATAATTTTATTCCTGTAATTAATTTTATTTTGTTTTGAGATAACAAACAAATATTATTTACGATTATATTCTAGCATTCATTTGCTCACCTGGCAATACTAAACATTCCGCAGATATGTTGAATATATGCAATGAGCATCGCCCCTGTTGCTATCATTAGGGCATTCCCTACGTAAGAAGCTGCTAGTGTATGCAGCGTAGTTAAGTAGAAATATTTTTTTTGATCAGTAAAGTACTCCCTCGCAACATACACTGAAGGATTTAGTCGAGACTCGTTCTTAGGCAGAACAATGTTTTGAATGTATGGCAAAATTTGTACAACAGCTAAGTTACATTTGTTCAATATGCCAAGCACTGAGAAAAGTTTTGTAAAATTAATCACACACATATATAAATCAAACCGCCTTTTAATTTTTTTATTTTTCTCTGTTGAGGTTAGCGAAAATCTTGTTTTGTTTTGAAAAAAAATGTATTTGTGATTAATCCAATTTTGGAACAGAGAACTCGACTACCATTATCTTACGTATAAATACAGTTGTGTAACATTTTGCCTTGCTCCCGTATTTTTCTATGATAGCGATTTCCTTCTCATCTCTTAGCTCGTTATATACATCTTGAAGCTGTTCCAGCATACGCCTTATCTGCCAATAATATTATATGCCATTTTTTAAATAAAATTTTAAAACAATTGCGAACTTTTGTATTCTTGATTAAGACGGAATTATTTGTACACTGAGAAAAAAATTGGTTGTACAGACTTTTGTAGATCCAATGGTATTCAACATTTATTAAGTTGAATAAGTAACATTTACTTCGCCGGTCAATAATTAACACAATTGAGAATTTAATTGATTATACTGGCAATGATTATAATCGTGGTAACGATTATAATCGTCGTGACAAATCATCACCGAGTTTCGACCAAGGATTCTGGCCATTCTAAAGTTGAATATACACTTTTGACTGAAAATTGGTGTTTCCATCTTATTATTGTTTGTCATCTTAATACATGTTAATGCTATAAATATTACCACATGCCGCAGCGGTCGAATTGGTACGACACCCGTCACGAAATGAGGAAGGTTCCAGGTTCGAACCCTGGCTGAGGTAATATTTTTCGCAATAAATTTAATTATTTAATTAAGATACTTACATAAATATTATAAGCATCTAAAATTACATCAACTTTAGAATGATCAGAATCCTTGGTCGAAACTCGGTAACGATTTGTCACGACGATTATAATCGTGGTAACGATTGCCAGTATAGTCAATTAAATTCTCAATTGTGTTAATTATTAAGTTGCACTAAAAAATGTATAATTCATTCAACCATCAACATTTTTTAATAAAGAATTCAGCTAATATTTAATTAAACCAACTGATGTTAGTTAAATGTATTGGAAAATATTTCAGTTGCATGAAACATATTTTGCGTTTTTCAACAAATTATTTTTCTCAGTATGTTACTTTTTCTTTAAATACATCTTACATTATAACCAGTGATCGGCAAAAATTCCGTTTTTAGAAATGATATCGGCGATTATTTTTAATTAATCAAAAATAAAAAATTTGAATGTTTTTAATTTTAATTAACAAAAAATTGGTAATTACTAAAATACTAAGCTCTAAATGTAAAATAATTATCATTTGATTAGAATAATCATATTACTTTGTACGAGAAATTAATAAATAATCATAAATATATTGCTCATGATTTAAAAAATTGGCAATTATATTAAAATAGACTGTCGGTTTTTAAAAAAATTACTTGTTCAGAAAAAAATATTGCTCTTTTTTTGAAAAATTAATTGTTTTTAAAAAGTATATTATTTCTTTCTTAAACAATTAGTAATTGTTAAAAAATATATTACTAATTTTTGAGGAAATTAGCATTTATTGTTTTGAAAAGTATCCGTTTTTAGAAATATATCAGGAGAAAGGAAACGATGAAGTGTTAACTACTATACAATTTTTTCGTACTGAAAATTCACATTCAAATCTGCATTTCAATTTTTTATTTGCCGGAATTTTTCGTGCACAATTATTTTTTTAGTTGTCTAAATAATAATGGTATTTTTAGAACAATTCTCCGCTTTATTATTAACGTGTGAAATAAGTGTAATCAAAAACTCTATAATATCTCCTTCGTCAGTCATCTCATGACTGTGTTCATGCTTGTCTTTGCCAAAAGGATTTGTTTCAGAGTCAAGGATAATGAACAGAAATTATTTTTATTTAATTGTTAATTTTTTGAAAAATTAGAAAATATTTAATTACTAATTTTTTTTAAATTAAAAATTATTTTTTTTTCTATTATATTATTTTTTAGAAAATTAGAAATTAAATTATTTATTTTTTGAAAAATTGGTTATAATTCTTGATTTATTATTAAATTTTCTAAAAATTTGAAAATAATATTACATTATTAACAATTTGTGTAGAAATAACCTTTTTTGAAATTATTTACATATTGCTTGGTAAATAAAAATAAATAAAAAAAATTTTTTTTTTTAGAACTTATTATTGTATTTTTGCTTATTAATGATTGCTTTGATATTTAAGAAATAAATAATGAAATTTTTTTGCCGATCACTGATTATAACTATAATAAAAGTAGAGGATTTTAAATCATGAAGAACTAAAAGAAAATTAAGAATAGCGGGATTAATTCAGTCCTAATAGGGGAAGAATACGAAAATCCGACAGTTTTACATTCGAAGATTACATCTATCACTAATGCATATATGATTGATAACGCTCTTACGATATCGGCGTTAAACCAAAACGAACTGTATTCGATCACATTGCACATAAAGAAGCATGTAATAGAGAAAACCTTGATAATGTGTTCTGTAGTACATTTTGACGTCGAGAATGTTGTAAACTGCAAGAAATAATTTTTAATAATTGAATAACCGGATTAAAAAACCAACAGTAGTCTGTCTGATTAGCAAACTGTTATATATTTCTCTATTCTCCGTTGTTCTCCGTGTAAGGTAAAGGTACCATACCTTTATTATTTATAAGTATAACGCGAATTAAAATCAAAGATAAAAGTATTTTTTTTTGTAGTTTGAAACTTCAGTTATAATATCCAAACGTTTATTTCCATAAATTTATATTTTTTTTAAGGTATCCAGACACAGGTACGTGTCCAGGTATTGGTACATTTACCTGCTCTTAAGTGTCCGGGTATTGGTACCTTTACCCTACTATGTATAATAAATTAGTAAAAAAAGAAAATAATTAATATTTGAGTATAATTGTATCGCAATAATTTTATTTTATTATATTTAATATAATTAATATATTAATATAATTATATTAATATATTATATTTAATAAAATTAATTATATTAATATATATTTATATTTAAATTGAAATATGATAGATGTAACTCTTTGTTATATAGTATTTGACAGCTTAATTTATAATACCAAAATTAAAATCTTAGCGTACTTGGAATATAATAAAACTTATCAGAACCCCAAGAAGTAAAATGAACTGAAGTTTAACGATTGGCGATCGTTGGTAAGGCCACAAACCTACGCCAAGCAACAGAATTCGGTTAACTCTAAAATGTTGAGTTTCCAGACAGATCATCTTTTCGTGAACACAGAAATACATTTGACGGAAAAACATTGGATGGAAATTCATTTATTCTTCTTTTTTTCTCTTCATTAATCGTGACCTTTTTTTCTACTATTGCAAATTTTTTTTGTAATCTTTCTTATTTGACATTAGTATGATGTAAAGCCATAGAAAATACAACTAAAATATTAGACATTGGTAATTTAAGAAATTTCCTTCTAAAGAAGTTCATGAATAAACGATTGATTTCACACTAAATTCAATTTAACAGGTGTTCTTTTCTCACGGAGGAACGTTCGTAGGCGGACTTCTGTCGTACAGAAGTCGCGCAGTCGCAATCGCCACTTTTCAGAGCACCACATTTCCGCGTGCTTCATTCTGTAGTGAACGCTCATAAGGTATGTTTATCTAAGCAATATTAACCCTTTCGGTACGGAGTGACGCGAACGGCCCTCCAGTGGCCGAAGTGTCGATCCGCCGATATACGCGATTCGGCCGAGAGAGCTAGGCACTCGACGTTCAACGTCTTCAATTAATATATGTAATAAAACTCAATAACAAAAACAATTTAAAAAATTTATCAACAGAAACATTTCAAGTTAACATTTCAAGTTGCTCGGTCGCAGTGAGCAGCATGTGAACAGTGACTATAGTGCTCGGCTGCAGTGATCTGTATAATGGACAGTGACTCTCCGTACCGAAAGGGTCAAATATTGGCATATTTCAAATTAGTAAATTATGTTAATGTTAGTATTTTTATAGTATCAGGTAATGTCATCGCGAAAATAATTTTGTTTTCTCCAGCAAATATAATTTTACTATTGTATAATTATAATTATGTATTTTTAAACATGTCTATTCTTAATACTTATTTTTTTTAAATTTCCTGACATTTGCGTTATTTAATTGCTCCCAAAGAGGATTATATTTAGTTTTAAACCAATAATAATAAATTATTTGTTTTTGAATATGCTGGTTTTAATATATCAATATGCACGTTACAATCAATAAAATAATAATATATCGGAAATAATTTTAAATAATTCTTTTATTATCGTCATCTCTTTTCCATTAATTTGACAGTATTGAAGTCTACGTTCTCTCCGTTTAATATTCATACAATCATTGCAACATTGTCATTAATACTTTATATTTAATCTCTTTAGAGATTATACAGTGCTATATATAGATCGACATGATTATTGATTCCTATAATAAATAAATGTGAAGTAGTAAGTAGTAAGATCTGCAGGGTTCAGGAGCTCATGAGAATTTTCTGTGTTTGTCTGTTAAAAAGAATCTTGGATTATGTTCTATACAGGCTGTTCAATAACGTTAGTATTGAAATTTAAGAACAAGTAGTACCCATGAAATAAAACTAAAAAGTCTTAATAAGCAGTACTCCAAAACAATTTATTTCTGAGACATTGAGACATATGAAACATTCGATGTATTTTCCATTTATTTCACGAGTATACATTTTATAACGTATTTACTTACATGCAACCGCTCGTACACTCATCCTTCACTTCTAAGGTCGACGAATAATCAGTATCGTCGACGTGACAGTTTTCAATTCTCTGTGTCAGTTTGTCGCTCGCGAATGGCCATCTATTATCATTGCACATTTTATTACTTACCCGTGTATTGTTCAGCATTGAAACAAAGTCTTCTGGAAAATAACTAATTTTTACACAAATTCTGAAATGACTAACATCCATTTCATGTATGACAGATAATTGTTTTCAAGAAAAGTGGATAAGACGTGGTGGTTCAGTTGAATGGTTATCTCGCTCGGAACATTTGAAGAGCATGATGTAGGTACACCACATCAGTTGACACATTAGATAAACTGATACAGAAAATTGAAAACTCTTGTTAACAAGCACAAATTAAATCTAGAATTTTTGAATGTGTTCGATTTTCAATGACAAAGCATGTCAAATTATGTGTTGAAATGAACGGAGAGCACATTAAACATCTGCTGTAGATTAAATTTATTTTTTATTTATTACAGCAGAAAATGTTTCATAACTCAAAAATGGAGTAATGCTTATTAAGACTTTTTGGTTTATTTTTATGAGTACTACATACTCCTAAAATTTGATACCACCTTTTTTAACACCCTGTACATGATGTACTACGCTGCTAGTGCTGCAGTGTCGATGACATTATAGAAAAGCGCCAGTGACTTACACGGAGAAAATTTTATATTAAATTTTACTATGCTGTCGCACCAACTGCGGACCATCAAGACGCACAAGTTTAAATGCTATAGTCTTCTAGTAAAATTACTATGTTCATACCATTTAATGCTACGATTATAGCACTAAATGCTATGGACATAGTAATTTTACTATAAGACTATAACGTTTAAACTTGTGCGTCTTGATGATCCGCAGCTAGTGCGACACCATAGTAATATTTACTATAAAATTTTCTCCGTATACAATTTATTTTGCAGTCTTTGCAGCCCAAACATTGAAGCACGCGCCCAAAATCTTATTATAGTAGGAAAATCATCTTTTTTACAACACCTCCACGGAAAGTTCAACTTTCCATCTTTGTAGAGCGGGGCAAAAGTGACCAATTGCACGCCAGGGCTTACTTTCCTCCCTAGGGAAGAAAATTGATACTTTCTGCCCCGTCAGACCCGTATGGCTCACTTTCACTACGCTCTACAGGCATTTAAAAGTCGAACATTTCCGTAAAAGTGTTGTGAAAAATTTCGTGTGCACCACGGATCGAAAGTTTTTTCAGACTCGTGTGATTGCCGCCCGAGCCGAAGTGGAGAATGGCAAACTTCACACTCGTCTGAAAAACTCTCCCCTTAGTGCACAATATACTAATACTATACTAATACGCTATATAGAAAATGTTCTTGGACATGAAATACATCCCCTAGCATATGTAGGTTCTACTGGCCAAAGACGTGACTCAACTGCGGGCTGATTTTGTAACTCTTAACGACAGTTTCGTTTATCATTATATTGTCGTTGCGCTGCTTTTTTACCATGTATAATATTTGCGCAACGATAATATAACGATAACAAAACCGTCGCTAAGGGTTACTGAATCTGCTGGACGTGTTGTAGTTGTCGGCAGCTATTATGTTTGCCGCAACTTGAATGAAAGGCAAAAGGAAAACATTAAAACAAGCTAGCTTTGCACTACTTGCAACAATTGAGTATGCGACAAACATCTCATAAGCAAGTTAACGTGCTATTACTGTATCCAAGTTTCTTCGTAATTATCCTAAACATTGTAGGTTACCATATTTTGAAATTATAATAGAATAAAAAGGATGCCTATTTTCCATTAATTTGACTGTATTAAAGCCCACGTTCTGTCCGCTTAATATTTGTACAATGCATTGCAATATATTATTATTAATATTGCATACTTTATATTTAATCTGTCTAGGAATTATGCAGTGCTATAAATTGGCATGATTATTGATTCGTATAATAAATAAATGTGAAGTAAGATATTGATCCGCTGGCCAGCTGCAATAAAAGATATCTTTTTCAAACGTTTAAAATATATTATATATTGAATATATTCGGATATAATTACCGTGACGAAGCATTCTAAGGACCCTTTAATCATTCCGCCAACAAATATCTGTAAAGTTTTACTGCCCCTTTGCAATAGGAACAATATTAACTTCTGTATATGTAAGGGAGCCATATACCATTGAACGTTGTATCTACATATATGAAATGACGATTAAATACGATCAATATCAATAATTCTATGATGATAAAATAATTCATTTATAATTTAAATTAATTCTCTCTTATAAATATTATAACGCATAGTTATCTTACGAATTATTTATCTTTAACTTTGTATGAATTTTGTATCGTATTTTGTATTTCTTAATTCCAGCTTGTGTGTGTGTGTGTGTTTATTGCACAAATTTTGACTCTTGCGTATCACATGAGAATATTTCTTACACTGTAGCAAATATGCCATTATTTTCATCCATATAAGTTGTTCCGAAATATCGTTGCACAGGAAAGTATATAAATAGTACATATTTACATATATTAAGGACTGTAACACTTTTCCGCTAATTTGTCCAGATGTTATCTCTCGAAAAATCTAAAATACGAGCTATTTACTTGAAAGTTTAAAAATAGAAAACCAAACTTACTCAATAAAGATTGAG